CCAGTATCAAATAAGTATAGATAACTTACGAAATGAGCATCGAAAATTTAAAAGAATAATTTAAAATTTCTAGTATGCTCAAATATCAATTTGTGTATGCTCATAATAGTATAACATAAAGAAACATCAATTTCTTGTTTCAGACCAACCAATTCCTTAAATTAAATGCACATTTAATTTAAATAATATACTCATAATTATTTAGAAAGTTGGAGCTTTTAATAGAAAAGTGAGAGAGGTATATATTTTTATTGAATTGTCATTCGATATGAATTTTTGAAAGAATTGTCTGAAAAAAATCTTGTAGAAAATTTACATTAGAATGAAAAAGAAATAGGAGTTCAAAATTAGAGGAGCAGAGACAAAAGTCATATACTCCATCTCGGCCGACGGGGGCGTCTTGGCTGACGAGGGTGCCACTCTGTGTCTTGCGCTTTCTGTTCCTCCGAGTATGTGGGTCCGGGGGCTCAGACCCATATACTCCATCAATAATAATAATAAAATCCCTTTTGCTTACTTGCTTGAGTCTTCCAATGTGTGACATGATAGATTAGGACATGTTAATTTTAATTCTATACGTAGATTAATTAACATGGAACAAATTCCTAAATTCACAATTGATGTGAAACACAAATGTGGAGTTTGTGTAGAGGCAAAACTAGCGAAAACGTCTTTCAAATCAGTTGAAAGAAAAACGGAACCACTTGAAGTAATTCATAGTGACGTTTGTGATTTTAAATCAATACAAACATGTGGCGGTAATACATATTTTATTACCTTTATCGATGATAGCACTCGCTATAGCTACGTTTATTTATTAAAAAATAAACATGAAGCAATCAATAAATTCATTCTTTATAAGAATGAAGTGGAAAACCAACTTAATCGACGGATTAAGACGGTTAGGAGTGATCGAGGTGGTGAGTATGAAGCACCAATTGGTGACTTTTGCGCTAGTGTGGGTATAGTACACGAACGTATCGCACCCTATTCACCTCAATCAAACGGTGTTGCCGAACGAAAGAATCGCACATTGAAAGATATGATGAACGCGATGCTAGTAAGTTCGGGCTTGCCACAAAATATTTGGGGCGAAAAAATCTTGACAAGCAATTACCTTTTAAATAATGTTCCCCGGAAAAAATATGACAAAACTCCGTACGAGTTGTGTAAAGGCAGACGGCCTTCCTATCAATATTTAAAAGTGTGGGGGTGTCTTGCTAAGGTGCTTGTACCAACACCTAAGAAAATAAAAATAGGTCCAAAAACGGTGGATTGTATTTTTATTGGATATGCACAAAATAGTAGTGCGTATCAGTTTTTAGTGTACGATTCGAATAATTCGGATGTACATAAAAACACAATAATTGAATCAAGGAATGCTTCATTCTTTGAAGATGTATTTCCATGCAAGTCCAACGAAGGGCCTAGCACGTCAAAACGAACATTTGACGTAGCTATGGAAAATACTAGCGAGGGGTCCGAAGAAGAACCCGAACCCAGACGTAGCAAACGTGCTAGAATTGAAAAAAAAATCGGACCGAATATTCTCACATACTTGGTAGAATTTGACTCGGATATTCTAACATGTATGGTAGAAAATGAACCGGATTTTCTAACATGTTTGGTAGAAAATGAACCACGGACTTATACGAAAGCCGTGACGTCTACCGAAGGGCCTATGCGGAAAGAAGCCATCAAAAGTGAGGTGAATTCTATCCTTAAAAATCACACATGGGAATTGGTTGATCTTGCTCCGGGAAATAAACCTTTGGGATCCAAGTGGATTTTTAAACGGAAAATGAAACCTGACGGTTCCATAGATAAGTACAAGGCCAGACTTGTAATCAAAGAATACAAGCAACGTGAGGGCCATGATTACTTTGACACGTATTCTCCTGTGACGAGAATAAATTCCATTAGGATGATACTAGCAATTGCCGCATTGCGGAAATTGGAAGTTCATCAATTGGACGTAAAAACCGCTTTTCTAAATGGCGATATAGACGAAGAAATCTATATGGAACAGCCCGAAGGCTTTCGTGTTCCAGACCAAGAAAGAAAAGTGTGTAAATTAATTAAATCATTGTACGGATTGAAACAAGCCCCTAAACAGTGGCACGAAAAGTTCGATCATGCAATGTTAATTAATGGGTTTAAAATAAACGAAAGTGACAAATGCGTCTATGTGAAGAGCAAGGTAGACGGCTATGTCATTTTATGTTTATACGTGGATGATATATTCATCGTGGGTAGCAATAATCTAATGATTAATTCTACCAAAAGCATGTTAAATTCTAAATTTGACATGAAGGATATGGGGCTGGCCGATTTAATCCTTGGGATTAAAATAATTAGAGGACCTGACGGTCTTACGCTAAGCCAATCCCATTACGTTGATAAAATCCTTACGAAATTTAATAAGGATGATTTTCAAGAGGCAAGGACTCCATTAGATAAAAACGTACAACTTACCAAAAATCGTGGAGAGTGTATTTCTCAAGTAGAATACACTAGGATTATTGGAAGCTTGATGTATCTAATGAGTTGTACCAAGCCTGATATTGCCTTTGTGGTTAGCAAGTTGAGTAGATATACTAGCAACCCCGGTGATGAACACTGGAAGGCAATAGTAAGGGTTTTGAGGTATTTACGTAAAACCCAAAACCTTGGACCGCACTATGGAAGATATCCAGGTGTACTTGAAGGGTATAGCGACGCTAGTTGGATATCTGACATTAAGGACTCAAAGTCCACAAGTGGATATGTTTTCACTTTGGGAGGTGCAGTCGTGTCATGGAAATCCTCAAAACAAACGTTAATAGCTAGATCCACAATGGAGTCTGAGCTAATAGCCTTGGATAAGTGCACTGAAGAGGCTGAATGGCCACGCCATTTTCTCGAGGATATTCCAAGTTGGGAAAAGCTTGTCCCTCCAATATGCATACATTGCGATTGTCAAGCGGCAATTGGAAGGGTATAGAGCAATATGTACAATGGTAAGTCTAGACACGTTCATCGTAGACATAACACCATTAAACAACTCCTCACAACGAGTGTTATCACTGTTGACTACGTGAAGTCAAAGGATAACATAGCGGATCCGCTAACCAAGGCATTGGATAGAGAATTGTTGGAGAAGTTGTCACGAGGAATGGGACTAAAGCTCGTGAATTGAAAAGTTCTATAGTGGATACCCAACCTAGTTGGTCCTAGGTTCAAAAGGGCAACTAAATTATAGAGCGAAGGATGGTCACTGTGGGGGTCCCGGACTCCTACCCACTCCTCGTTAAAACAGTGACTCCCGCACGAGGTTAGCAAAAACGTTTTCTTTAATGATTCTAAAATGTTGATCTACTCGATAAAATTAGAAGAGTATGCGGGATACTCGTGAAAATATCACCTATGTGAGAGAGAAGAGGGCCGCTTCAAAGGAGAACTGTATAGGCTCAGTTCTTTAGAAACTCTTGCAGAACCAGGACGGTGACCCATGGCAAAAACGGGCACACCCATGAGAACGGAACAAAGTTGGAAGGTTCTTGTGTAAAGATAAGTCAATGTTTACACGACTGCAGTATAGTTCAAGGACATCGAGTCTACTAGACAGCCAGTAAATAAACGTGTCTTTACAACGGAAGGTTCAAAGGATAAAACCTACCTCTCCGTATGCAAGGATCATCCAGTGAACACAACGTGTCCTCCTATCTTCGTGTCTTTTTAAGTCTCGAAAATCAATTTTCATTCATGTGGGGGATTGTTGGAAAAATGTGTTAAAAATTGCATTAAATGGTCATTTTGGGGCAATTATTTGAGTGGGGTCCACTTCCGATTTGGGTCGGGTCAAAGTGGTTTCGGATTGTCCTTGTTAAGGGTTACAATTCAATATGTGGTACACTCAAAACGGAGAAGAAAAACCGCGACTTGTGTGCACGGGCGACCTGCGGACACCTCTCAAGAGATACGGTTAATTTTTGTTTTCTTCCCGAAACGTTTATTTTTTCCCAGAAGTGCTCCGGACAGAAGGCCTCGACCAGAACACCTCGGTATGGTGTTCTGGTGGCGTCGGGCAGAACCCCTCGAAGGGGTGTTCTGTTGGCTTCGGACAGAACCCCTCGAAGGGGTGTTCTGGACGATTCAATGCCCAACGGACTGGTCATTGATGTCCAACGTTCAGGTCCATTAACACTACATTTAACACACAACAAATCCTCCTGTAAAAGACTGGCAGGTGGTTTGCAACAAGACACAACACACAATACATTCCTCACATTTTCTTGAGCTAAAAACACTTCCAGCTACTCTGCAAATTCCTTCTGTGTTCATACTTGATTCTCGTTCGCTGGAACTCTTGTTTGTGTGCTGAAACATTAGTTCGTAGTCATCGTATCTATTGTTGCAACAAATACGTTTTAAGGACCGTGGGAGGCAACAAATACGTTTTAAGGACATCGTGTGTAGCACGAGCTTTGACTAATTCTTCTTCATCTCCTTTCTTGTTTTTCTCTAGTCATTTTATTTAATTAATTTATTTTAATTAATTTCCTTTATTTTCCTAAACATATCCAACAATTTTTACACGTAAAGTTACATATTTTTACACGTGGAGTTACATATTTATACACACGAGTTGCATTTGGCCTGACTGGACGTGAGTTACATATTTCTACACATAAAATTACATATTTTACATAGGTTAATATAATAGTTCGATAATATGTTAAAATTACATAGGCAATATTGCTCTCATTTGAAAGATCATGAAAAATAAAAAATGTTGATATAAATTTTATAAAAATCGGATCAAAAATAAAAAGTTATTACCATTTTTTTAAAAAGAGAAAAAATAATACCCAATGGGTGCTCACCATGCACCGGTTGCACGGTATACACACTCTTGAACTAATTAGACTATTATCGGATGATTCGGATCACGTACGTACACTTCAGTCACTTGACTCAAATTTATCTTCCTGAAAAAAAACAATGCATGATGTCACTTACAAGACTTGGAGCGTGGATATTGTGATAAAAGACCTAGGAACAATGCCCGTGAATGTATTGTTTTGAAGCCTCCTGCCAATACCACCAAATAAATTAATTAAAGATCGAGTTGTCCTTAACAAATTTCTAATCAAATTGTTTTCCAATTCCCAAACATTCATATCGACTCACAATAAAAAAATAAAGCTTAAACATAACTCAGAGATATACTACGTTTACTCACATAAGTACATACATAGTACCGGTTAAAATAAAAATTTAGGATGCTTTTAATTGGATTAAAATTTCAAGTGTAGACTAGTTTTGTCTGAACTAGTTTGGTTTGATAGATATCGGTTTTGTATATATCTTGCAACAGTCAAAGTCTGATTCGATCTGATCTGATTCGGTCTGATTTGATCTAATTTAATTATCTAAGTTTGCGATCTGATCTCAAACTGAAATCAATTAAATTGAAAACATGCTTTAACTATACAATTGGGTATTTGGTCTATTGAGATTATTTATTTTATGTCACATCATCCACGTACCATGTGTATTGTTTTCCTATTTGTAAGCATGTAAACATAGGTTCATGCTATGCATGGCCCATGCATTATTTCCTTTTATTATTCACACCACCTATTGTAATATATATATATATATATATATATATATATATATATATATATATGTAGCCCGCATGTAATAGAAGTAAGAAAGCTACGCCATATTTCCTTTACATGAATACTAGCTCTCTCAATACTAGCTCTTATTTTTATCATTAGTTTTATTTACATTTTAACATGGTATCAGAGACAAACCCTGGAAATCAGTATATTGGTTAGTTTTGATTTATTTTTACTCATATCAACGTGACGTCGATGCCGCCTCACACTCGTACCTGGATAATTGATTCTGGAGCAAGTGAGCATATCACTTGTGACAGTACAAATCTTTTCAACATTTCTACTCATTCATCCGAGACGGCAGTGAGAATTCCTAATGGGGAATTAGTTACAGTTTCTGCCGTTGGTAGCCTTTACCTGTCTAATGGGTTCTTTCTTCGTCGTGTTCTTTACGTCCCACAGCTTCAATGTGATCTGCTCTCCGCCAGTCGCCTCACAAGTGACCTAAATTGCACACTCACATTTTTTTTCAGATTTCTGTATAATACAGGATTTACCCTCGAGAAGACTGATTGGTAAGGGTGAATTTCATAACGGTCTTTATCATCTATATTTACCTAGAGGTGAAAGAGTAGCAATGGGAGCTACTTTTGATTCTGATTTATGGCATAAGCGTCTGGGTCATGCTTCAAATGGAAAATTGCAACACATTTCATTTCTCAAAGATTTGCAACAAAATAATAGCTTTTGTGATCCATGCTTACGCGCTAAACAAACACGGCTGTCGTTCCCCAAAAGTACAAGTAAGACTACTTGCTGCTTTGAATTAATACATTGTGATATATGGGGAAGTTATAGATGCGATTCTACTTCAGGAGCACGCTATTTTTTATCCATTGTTGATGATTTTTCTAGAGGTGTTTGGGTTTACCTCATGAAAAATAAGTCTGAAGTTTGTCAAAAATTGATACAATTTTGCAACATGATAAAAACTCAATTTGAGAAACGAGTTAAACGGATACGTTCCGATAACGGAATGGAATTTCAAACCAAGATTTTATCTGAATATTATGTCCGGTATGGAATTATTCTGGAAACATCGTGCACTGACACCCCTCAACAAAATGGGGTTGTAGAGCGTAACCACAAACACATATTGGGAGTCGCTAGGGCTCTTCGTTTTCAATCAGGATTGCCTATTGATTTTTGGGGGGAATGCATCCTTACTGCTGTTTATATTATCAATCGGTTACCGTTGCCTGTTATTTTTAACAAAAGCCCCTATGAGATGTTATTTGGGAGGGAACCTTACTATGAACATCTACGCGTTTTTGGGTGTCTAGTATATGCACATGACAATAAACGCAAGGATAAATTTAGAGAAAGGGGGAATCCTTGTATATTTCTTGATTATCCCTATGGTCAGAAGGCTTATAGAGTATTTGATTTGCAAAAACAGAAAATTTTCAGTTCTGGGGATGTCACATTTATTGAAAATGAATTCCCATTTAAAATGATAAATCAAGAAGGACATGATTTCAAAGAAATTATTGACCTTGTATACAAAAAGGTTGTGGGCCATGGCGGTACCACTTCACATGAGGGTCATCGCATCAGACTTAACGTCGAAGACCCTGACGGAATTAACCGCCATGCAGCAGTATATCGACTAGAAGCTCTCCCTTCCGTCAACCTGGAGCCAGATCATTTGGAACAAATCTGCGGCTATCCTCACAGAGAAGGGTACACGCATGGACCCCAGCAATATCCGGCAACTCACCGCCGGCCACAGAACTGCTTCAATCCCGTCTGCAGTAAACCAGACCACTTGGGCGCGACTAGCAGCATGAGCAAAAACGGTACAGGAACAGAAGTGGGACCGTCTACTCGTCACCTCTCACCCACCGAGCATAATATCACAGACGATGAGGACACACGTGCTGAGCCAGTATCTTGTCCACTCTTACCCACCGGACAATTTGCTCCTGACACCTCTTTGGACGCACATGGAAGAGATAATCTGGCTTTTACACCTTCTATGCATCCCACAGTGCTCAATTTTCCGCCAGGTCCCAGTGAGCATATAAATGGTGACAAAAATCTGGAATCACATTTGAGAAGTCACCCACGTGATATGAACAATCAAACTCCAGTCCCTAAGCACCTCAATGAATATGATGTTGACCTACCACCATCTTTGGACCATTCACGGTCAATTGCAAATCAAGCTGACTCAGTAGTATACCCAATATCTAATTTTATCAGTTATGAGAAGTTTTCTAATCGACACAAAGCCTTTCTGACGGCCATCACTTCACATGATGAGACAAAACAATTTTCGCAGGCCATTTTAGCTCCAAAGTGGCGGGAGGCTATGCAACGGGAGATTCGTGCTTTAGAAGAAAATGGTACCTGGACCTTGGTACAGCTACCGCCAGGAAAGAAAGCAGTCGACTCTAAATGGGTTTATAAAATAAAATATAAACCTAACGGCGATGTGGAACGCTACAAGGCAAGATTGGTTGCCAAAGGCTTCACACAAGTCGAAGGAATTGATTTTCATGAGACTTTTGCTTCAGTTGCGAAACTCGTCACAGTACGATGTCTGTTGGCCGTTGCTGCCAAACGAAATTGGGTAGTACATCAATTGGATGTCAATAATGCCTTTCTCCACGGAGTCCTTTCAGAAGATATTTACATGCGTGTTCCCCAAGGATTTAGCAAAGATGGCGACACTCATATTTGTAAATTACAAAAATCGCTCTATGGCCTGCGCCAAGCTTCTCGTAATTGGTACCATAAATATAATTTACCCAATCACTTTTGAAAGTTGGATTTCGTCAATCTCGGGCAGATCATTCCTTGTTCCTTTTTCAACAAGGTGAGAACTGCACATTCGCTCTTATATGACCAATTTAGTATCAAAGACTTGGGTACGTTAAAATATTTTCTCGGAATCGAGGTCGCTCGTTCACCCGAGGGGTTTGTACTGAGTTAATGCAAATATACTCTTGACATCCTGGAAGAAAGCGGTCTCCTTGTTGGTCGTCCCATTCAATTTCCCATGGAACAGAACTTAAAACTTCGACCTGATGATGATAACCCTCCTATAGATGCCCCTTCATATCGCCGCTTGATCGGTTGCTTATTGTACCTTACTGTGACTCGCCCTAACATTGTCTTCTCGGTTTGTCAGGTTAGTCAATTTCTAAGCCAGCCACGCCAGTCTCATTTCGACGCTGCCACACGTGTCCTTCGCTACTTAAAACAGACTCCAGGACAAGGAATTTTCTTATCTTCAGATAATGATTTCTCTTTGAAAGGTTATTGTGATGCTGACCGGGCAGGGTGCTCATACACTCGCCGATCTAGCACGGGATATTTTATCACCCTTGGCAATTCTCCAGTCTCTTGGAGGAAGAAGAAACAGTCTGTTGTTTCACGTTCTTCCGCGGAAGCAGAATATCGTGCCATGGCTGTCACAGTTAGTGAAATTTTATGGTTACGATGGTTACTTCGAGACCTAACTATTACTCAAAATGGTCCTACTTCCCTCTTCTGTGATAATCAAGCAGCTCGACACATTGCACTTTACCCTGTTTTTCATGAACGTACCAAGCACGTAGAAATGAACTGTTATTTCGTTCGTGAACGTGTGGCTAGTGGTGAAATCCAACCATGTTGTATCTCTACAACACATCAAATTGCTGATATTTTCACTAAAGCACTCGGCAGTGATCGTTTCCAATTTCTCAGGAGCAAGTTGGGTGTTCGCAACCTTCACACGCCACCTTGAGGGGGAGTATTGAGATTATTTATTTTATGTCATATCATCCACGTACCATGTGTATTGTTTTCCTATTTGTAAGCATGTAAACATGGGTTCATGCTATGCATGGCCCATGCATTATTTCCTTCTATTATTCACACCACGTATTGTAATATATATATATATATATATATATATATATATATCTGTGTGTGTGTGTGTGTGTATGTAGCCCGCATGTAATAGAAGTAAGAAAGCTACGCCATATTTCCTTTACATGAATACTAGCTCTCTCAATACTAGCTCTTATTTTTATCATTAGTTTTATTTACATTTTAACATGGTCATCGGCCAGTGTGAACTATATTACTACGTACTATAATATGTGCATTGTTACATCCTCCGAATTAACCGTTCGACTGATGTTGGAGCTCTCATTCTTTTAAATAGTATGTGCATTGCGCTGCAACTTTCGCGGTAAAATAAGATTTGATAGTTTTTGAAAATTCCGCTTTTATGCAATGTTTTGCATTGTTTATATATTGTGTAAATACATTGTTCGATGCATATAATTTGAACATATTTTCACATTATCTCAAACTATGTATGCACGGGTGAAAGCTAAGCAAGGTCAAACGTACATAAATCTGAGATGATTGTAACTGCCAAACGTGTGGGGTATTTGCCCGGTCAAATTGTTATCGTACAAATCCAAGCTCACCAAGTTTGATAGTTTGCCAAACTCCTCAGGTATCGTACCATAGATTGCATTACCAAAAAGCTCCCTGGCCGGAAAATGATAATAATTACTTAATAACATCTCTCAATTTTATTATGCGACTCCATAATATAAATGCATACCTGTCTTTGATGCACTTGTGCATAAGAGCGTGTATAATGTGAGTGTGTGGTGTGTATGGGCTCCCTATATTAGATGTGTATGCATAGACTTAAACGATACTATTTTAGGTCTCGGTGCCTCCGAGTTTATCTTTTTGATAACAGTTTGTTAGTGTGGTCTCCATGAAATTTATATCATGTCTATCAAATTTCAGTTTAAAATTTAATCGGAAAGTCAATTAAATAAATTATTGAAAATTGCACAGTTTTATATACGGAGTAGTATAAAAAATGCAGTTTTTTTCAATATTTTATTTAACTGAATGCTCGAATAAGTTTTAATCTGAAATTTGGTGGAGATGATCTATAATTGATGGAGAACATGTTTACAACATTTGATTTAAAAAATCGATCTGGAAGAACTTCAAATGAAAGAGGCCTAAAACTTGTAATTTTTAGGTCTACCTTATATATATATGAACATTGTCCTATATGTGTGTGTGTGGACAAGGTGTGGATCAAACAAAAATTACTCTTCACGTGAAAAATGAAAATCGTTAACTTTCCTTCAATGTTGTGCACTATTAGATTTTAGGTTCCTATGCTGCACTATTTTGCATTGTCGGGAAACTTTGACATTTTAACACAATTTCACTGCATTTTTTATTTGGGGTGATTTGACCAAAGTTCAAAAAGTGTAAGAGTTGAGCTTTAAAGTGCATTGACAATGAAAGAAAATAAACGATTTAAAGTTTTCACACTAGAAGTCATTTTTATTCAATCCGGAACCTACGTAGACATATTTTAATTTTGATTTGATGCTATGAAACTAATGAAAGAATATAATTTGAACTCACAAATACTGCAAATGTGCAAGGTTCTGGAGATTTGGAACGAGTGTACCAGAGAGCCCTGAAATTTCCAGATTACTGAAAGTAAACATGTTAATTAATTTATTAAATAAATAATTAAGTAGTATGGGTGTCCCATTCATAAATCCAAAATAAGGTAAGTAGGAGTTGACCGAAAATAAACATGCATTAGTTGGAAGGAAAAATCAAAAAATAAACAAGCACGTACAAACTTACATTTGAATAACATGTTTGTAATCCGGTTCACCTATTACTTGACCACATGTAATACGAAACCAAGTGCAGGGATCGACGAGACTAGTATCCCAATTATGTAGAACATTGCCTGGGTCTTCAAGTGCATTCTTCATAGCATTTAAAGCTTCAACTGTTGTACGTAAAAACAGTCATATATAGATCACTTATAAGCTCGTCGGTTAAATATTAAATACTCCGTATATAGAGCGGTTTTAGATCCTCTTCCAATTTCAGATCTAATGTATATCAAATTAAAATAAGTCAACCTATTTGGAATGAGCTGGAACATTATATATTCTAAATTTCAGCCTATCAAAGCCATTACGTAGACTCTCTCCTGGCACTAGATTTGATAAAAAACCATAGTAGAAATTTGAAGGCATATTTTGACTTTGCACTCTGCTTATTGGTTGATATTGGACTTTGTACCTCATTTTTAAAACTCTTAGACTTTGCACCATATTTTCCCTAAAATGTCTTTGACTTTGCACCTCATTCAGGAATTTTTCTTCACAAAATGTTGTAGATAGGGTGCAAAGTCTAAAAGTTTTGGAAATGGGGTGCAAAGTCCAATAATATCACCCAAAAGATGGGGTGGAAATTCAAAATTCCCCAAATTTGAAATATAAACTAAAACTCTCTATCACCGCAAAAAATGCAATATAAAGATAATAGTTTCATCATACTCCGTATCACTTTTCATGTGGAATACGTACTCTTAGGAAATGATATGTTTAATTTGTTTTTTCCCTTTCGAGAGAAATTATCCAAAATAAGACTAAAAACGTTTGTATATTTTAAAATAGTATTATCATGTTTTTAATCCCAAAATAAGATTGATTACTGACATGTTTTGACACTACAAGACTTTAAACATGACAGTATTTTCCAAACTTGACAGTAATTACTCCTATTTTGGGAATAAAAACATGACAGTCCTATTTTGGAATTTTCAAGCTTTTTTACTCCTATTTCGAGAATTTTCCCTGTGTGGGGGGCATTCATTCGATCACGTCAGTTTTACTAATGAACGATGTGGTTAAATTAAAACTTAAAATTAATGAAAGGAGTTATATTAGGGGTGTGAATTGGATCGAACCTTCTACGTTACCAAGGACTCGGTGCATGTGAAGAAGCGACAACAAGCCGAGTAGGAATAGCCGCAGGCTGCTGCTTTCTCCTTTTAGCATTTTCCCTGATGATGCCGCCGCTCTATGTGATTAGAAATAAGATTATGTTTTTGAATAGAAATAAGATTAGTTATACGAGTAATTAGACACGAGTAACTATAGTGTATTTATGAATTTAGATGATGAGTCACTCCTGACTAGTCACCGACTACATCACGTTCTTGGAAAATTTCAAATTAACTAATTTTTTTGTATTAATTCAGTTATATTCATAGAAAAGGCTTTTATTGTCACCATTTAAATTTTAAATATATTTTATTAATAAAACCACACAAAAAATAAATGAAAAGTATTTAACGGTCAAATACCCCACACATCCGATTGAAAATTGCTGGTCTGGTCTGGTATGGGGTCTGGCCAAAATTCCAGCAAATTTAGTCCACTTATCAGCCTCAGAATCAATCTTTGCATTATATTTTATATAAGGTTGGGTTTTTCATATCAGTCTTTGTATTAAATTTGGTTTTTCATACCTAAAATTTGCATTAAATTTTTTCAGAATTTTGGCCGGAAAGACGAGGGGTGGTGAGGGGATAATGGTCACGGACTAAATGTGAACAATCTGAAAGTAAGGGACTAAATGTGAAAGTGATATAATAGTGACGAGACTAATTTTTTCTTACTTTAACTTACGTTTGCCATGATAAAGCTTAGGCCCACCATTACAAAATCTGCTGACTTTAATAGTCTGATGACTACCCGTAAATTCCGAAACATAACCTGGGTCATAAATACAATGTTAATACTAATAAATAGAACTATACACACGCGCACACACAAACATATACCCCTTCCGTCTTTAAAAGGATTGCCAAGTTTGACTCGCACGTAAAATAATAAAGTAAAAATTGTGTGGTAGAGATTTGTGCAAAAGAGAGAGAAATAAGAGGAACCACAAATTGATTGATTAAAAGGGAAAGTGGCAAAGTTATAAGGGACAGAGGGAGTATATAATTATATACAGGGTTGGGTTCTAATGAGAAGACATATTAACGTGAAAAGTGAGAAGTTACACATTTACCTATTTCTGACGCACTTTTTTGCTAATCTGATGCATTTTTTGTGATGACAGAAAAGTTTCGATTATTTACGGAAATGCCACCGCGTCTAGGATCACTTTTTACGAAAATTGCTGGTCTGGTTTAGTCCGTGACGATTATCCCCTCACCACCCCTCGTCATTCTGGCCAAAATTCCACCAAATTTAGTCCACTTATCAACCTCAGAATCAGTCTTTGCATTAAATTTTATATAAGGTTGAGTTTTTCATATCAATCTTTGCATTGAATTTGGTTTTTCATACCTAAAATTTGCATTAAATTTTACCGGAATTTTGGCCGGAAGAACGAGGGGTGGTAAGGAGATAATGGTGACGGACTAAATATGGACAATCCGAAAGTAAGAGACAAAGTGGTATAATGACCAAAACTGAATTTTTTCTTACTTTAACTTACGTTTGCAATGATAAAGCTTAGGCCCACCATTACAAAATCTGCTGACTTTAATAGTCTGATGAGTACCCGTAAATTCCGAAACATACCCTGGGTCATAAATACAATGTTAATACTAATAAATAGAACTATACACACGCGCACACACAAACATAATGACATATAGAGGAAAATCATTAAAATACCCCAAACTTTGATAGGGTGTGAGATAAACACCCCAAACATGCATATGTAATTTAAGTATCCCAATCTTTACAAAAAAATTATTTTAGCACCATGATCATGTATTATTTCTTTCAAAAATATTAACTTTTGGTTTTTATTTCATAATTTGATAATTTTTAACATTCATAAAAATACAATTAACATTCTAAGCTTCCATTGTAAAATAAATAGTATTACCCACCATTATATATAATTCTAATGTTTTCAATTTGCTATTTTAAATTATGAAATTAACACCATAAATTTACATTTTTGAAAGAAATAATACATAATCATGGTGTTAAAATAACTTTTTATATAAAGTTTGGGGTATTTAACTTACATATGAAAGTTTGGGGCGTTTATCTCACACCCCATCAAAGTTTGGGGTATTTTAATTATTTTCCCCTTATATATATATGGAGTGGTTCCGGTAAGAACGGACTCCCAGAAGAGAAATGAGAACGAATCTGGACTATTGGATTGTATTATGTGGAACTGAATTGTGCATTTGGTGAAACTGAAATGTGCATTAGATGATATTGAAATGTGCTGAATAAAAATTTAAACTCAAGTGTGCATTAGATGAAACGAAAATGTGTGGAATAAAAGGTACAAAAATAACATCATGTCGTACCTTTTATCATGCACATTTCAATTTCACTTAGTTCACATTTCAATTTCACCTAATGCACAATTCCGTTTCACATAATGCCACTGTATTGTACCATGCATTTGTGCTACACATTTCAATTTCACCTAATGCACATTACAGTTTCATCTAATGCACATTGAATTTCACTTAAAGTAAATCTAACGGTCCAGATTCATTCTCATTTCTCTCCTAAGATCATGTTCTTATTTGAACCAAAACATATATGTGTGTGTGTGTGAAGAGAGCTAGAAAAATGCTTTAAATCCAAAAAATTTTAGTCACCGTATACTTTTTGAAAACAAAAAATGTATATTTGAATAAAGGAAAATAATACAAAATCATAAATTGGTAACACAACTGGAAAAAATAAATTGGGAAAAAATAAAAAATGTAATTTTATTGAAAACAAATTTTGATTAACCTTGGTAGTAAAACAGATTTTGATTAACCTTGGTAGTAAAAATATTAAACAGATTTCATGTTTAAAAATATTTAGTTTGGAAATTTATAAAATATTTTTACATCTCCAGAAAATTCAGAGTTGATAACTTGGATTAATAAAATAAAAAAAGATCAACTATACTTGATATTATTTATAGCTTACACTTAGTTCTCTTTTTTAAATAACCTGCTATACCAAGTTGCAGTCGGTTAGAGTCTATTTTTGAAAAGATATCCTAATAATTGAAATCACATCTAAATAATCGATACTTGGAAATATTAACAGCAGAACTAAAATAATTGAGATTATTATTTTCAATTTTTCCTTAATTTTTTACAAATTGTATCCTATGTCTAATAGGTTTTAATTTCCATTCAAGTGATAATTTTGCTGGAATGTATGCAGATGGTCAACCAAAATATTCCAATTTAGTGCCACAAGAAAATATTTATATGAGTTCCTCCAAAAGATTTATATGAGTGGTTACATTCAATGTGGGAACTTTTCAAATGAAATATATTATAGAAAACCTTATTCAAAATAATTTATAAGCAAAACTAATAGGATTAATAACAGCTAATGAGCTTCGATGTAAGTTTAGAATAAATTAGCTAAATTTCTCTTTAAATAAAACCAGTAATTTATATATTTGGTATCCATCTAATGTTTTTGCCCGCCCAAATGTTTTTGCGCACCCAACTGCTCGAGAAGAAATTTTATAGAAAACTTGACTAATGAATCCTCATTGGAAGCAGAGCAATGCGAAGAGATTAATGGTGTCCAATCTAATTAAATATCTTTGTATTTGTGTAGTTATTAATTAAACGTGTAATACGGGCCACAAATATGTATAAGCCCGTTAGCTTCCTTGTAACCCGTAAGTTAGCCAACTTTGCCTATAAAAGGAGGCTAACTTACGGGAATCATGTTGGTTGGAGGCTTTAAAGACGCAGAGGCGAGATAGAGAGAGAGTAGGGTTTCCGCTGCTCTCCTTCTTGAGGGAGAACAGCGGGGTTTCATACGGTATACCAGATGCGTTGTTGAATATCTTATCTTTCTATCTTCTTCTTTATACCTGTTATGATTGTTCGATTGTTAAGTTTTGGGACTATCATGTGGTATCAGAGCGGAGGCGTGAAACATGTTGAATCTATCTGCGGTTTTTTGGATCTAACGAAGAACTGCTCTGCTTTTCTTCTGTTTTTCTTTGATGTAGAGATTTGCTCTTGTAATCTTGTTTGTGAACGAAATTTTATAAAAATTATATTGTTGGAATCGCCTTTCAAAACCGATCCAGCCGCATATCTTCTTTTTCGTTTTCTGCATTTTTTAGTTTCGTACAGTGTGTATTATAATCGATGTAGAACTTTAAAGAGCATAAAAGTGAAGGTTCATATCGAGCAACTCTGATCCGAAGCCACCAGAGTTCGAGCAACTCTGATCCTGGGAAAAATTAAAACGTTACGGGAAGAAACAAAACTTAGACCGTATCTTTGAATGATAGGTTTTCGGACGACATTCGTGTCCGCAGGTCGGGATTTGATCGGCACCCCCCCCCCCCCCCTGCGCGTAAGAGAGAGCCTTTCCCTTTAGGAATCTTAACTCCTTAAAAGAGGATTCCCTTTATAAGGGGGTGAAAATCCCTTGAGTTTTTTGGTGTGGGATAAAACACACTAGAAACTCACCATTTTCCCAGTTTTTCCATTTCAACGAGTGAACTTCGAGAATCAATTTCTCATTCACCCGTTATCCGTTTTGAGTGTACCATATATCGAATTGTAGCCCTTAACAAGGACAATCCGAAACCACTTTGACCCGACCCAAATCGGAAGTGGACCCCACTCAAATAATTGCCCCAAAAAGACCATTTAATGCAATTTTAACACATTTTTCCAACAGAGGACACTTAATTTTCTTCCTCTGTGATTTCTATTTCTTCTTCCCTTTTATAATTACGAAGTATTTTTTTACTCTGACTGGAGTTGCATCTTGTGGTGCATTTTTCGATTAGAGTTGGACGCCGATCCTTTGGCTGTGTTGGCTGTGCAAGCCCCTCGGGATTCCGGCAGTTAGTTTTAAATATTTAATAGGGATGAAAGAAGCCGAAGGGCTTTTCGCGGTGATATGTACACATCAGCAAGTGAAATTGGCTTTCCACACTCGCACATTACTCTTGACGGTGTTTAACTTTTTTTTGCCAACTCACCATAACCGAATACGAGACTACATGCATTGGAAGCAAAATATAACACACAATGTCTTAAATGCTGA